GTGTGTGTGTGTGTGTGTGTGTGTGTGTGTGTGCGTTTGATTTTGTGTGTGTGAGTGTGTGTATGTGTGTGTAAGTACTTATTCCTGAGTATTAATTTCCGTTCACTCTTTTGTAGCCTGTTTGCTTTTATTAATCCAATTTGCCGAATCGGAATCACAATTCTAGGTTACATATGTACGAAAGACGACTGCACAGCATCGTTCTGCAAATGGTCTGATTTGCTGAAGCACACTAAGGCTGCGCACCCTACGGTCTACCAGTGTGATTTTTGTGACAAGACATTCAAACAAAAGAAAGTGCTGAAAGAACACCTCAAAACTCACAGCACTGGTAGACAGGAACATTTGTGCATGTATCCTGATTGTGGGAGATCTTATGTGTCCTCGAGTTCCCTTAAGCAGCATGTCAAGTCTGCACACTCTATCAAGAAGCAATTTGTATGCGAAGTAGCTGGGTGCTCTAGACAATTTGCCTGGAAGGCTTCCTTACATAGGCACGTGCAGAAGGTGCACAAGCTCAAAGGCCCATCTCCCGATGAGCAGCGCTTGAAAGCAAGTCAGAGTGGGAATATGACTAAGATAAGAGACGGCCTCACCATCGCAGGTGCCGGGGTGAGTAGTTCGGGTTATGATAGCACAGCAGGTGGTAGTACAACTGGTGTGAAGAGACTTGAGGAGAAAGCTACTATATCGTTGGGATCAGATGTACCTGCCCAACCGCGAATAGCAACGAACAATGCCCATATTGTGTCTGAGGCTGAAGTGCAGAGACAGAAAGATTTCGATGCGGTTCGGGCCATACTTTCGGTGAATACGTGATTCTGGTCTCCTTACATTTTCAGAGGACATGGCTCAGAAATGGGACTTTGGTGAGTGTTCCGCTGGTGTACTGAAAGCATATGGTACAGGGAGTTTGGATAATCAAGCCTGGTTTTATTTTCCAGCAAACCGGGAGATTGGATGCCACGATTGTTTTTCCAGCCCCTGGGCAGCCCAATACATATTTTACTGCGCAAGCTGAAGTCTGGGCTACGGATAGTGTACGAGTTCTGTCGCAGAATGAACCCGACCATTCTAGCTACTTTAATTACTGACAATTTTGACTGCAAATATTCGCATCTATTCTAGCCTATGAAGCTAGTTATTGTCTTCCAGTAGAAATGGAGACCGGGTGTTACGGCCAATGGGCAAAATCTATAACGCAAGCTGAAGTCTAGACCGAGGACAGTGTACAACTACCGCTGCAAATTGAGTCCGACCATTCGCGCAGCTTTAATTGCTGAAAGTTAAACTGCCATGAGTTTGGTCGCATTTAATATAGATGAACAGAACTTATACGAAGATCACCCACTTTAATCAGAACCTTTTGAATCGAGCTATGTATTAGTGAATTTTGATGATGGTTTACGCTCTAGAAACGTCAACTAGCCGAAAAACTGGATAAAATATCAAGCCTGAAAATAATGGAACATAGGCACAAACACTTTTTAAATTCGTTTCAAAAATAGTCTTTGAACGAGCTAGTTAACGCACTAAATTGCTGAACTGGAGAGCGGAGTATTTGAACATATGAAAGTACAGTTCAGAAGCGTGGAAAGTACTGGGAATAATAGAGTATGAGATTCATGTTTTCCTAGAACTGAGGATTCTTGAGAAAGCAGTGATTTGTATATTAGGTATGTGGCAATCAAATGAAGTAGTTGCTTGCTTTGCCTAAGTTGGAGTAAGAGTATGCCACTCCACTTTGCTTAAATCTAGCGATAATCGTTCTAGTAAAGTCATCACGGGCGCGGGTCTTGAGCGTTAAAGGAGTATTGTACTCTTACGACAGGATCGGGAAAAAAATGGCATCGGCGAGGTATTCTCCTCAAAAACAACTAGTTTGGTGAATGTTGCCAAACTCATTACCCATTATATACTAATAATTTATTCATTATGTACATCTACTCGGCAGGATTTAGGCCCGTTTAAATTTACATGGCTGCTAATTTGTACTCGATCTCTTTTATTTCATCGGTAACCGAACCCTCCGTGGCCAATTTCTCCAACTACAGAGATGAGGGGAATACAATATGATAAGTATATTGGATGCAACAGTGGCATATTTTAAGCATTGGCGCTTACGCGATACATAAGCTCTCATAAGTGATAAACATGAAATGCACGTAGCCATCTTTGTAATAATTAAATGTGACATTAAAAAAAATATCGCGTTTGATATACCTGTGCAGTGTCCAGCTCATCAGAGGCGGTCGAGCTCTTCAAGGTCTCGATGGCGCGCAGCTTCTTTTTAAGATTCCGTAACCTTTTAGACATGTCAGCAAGGGTCTCCTCCTGTATATACATCGAATCAAAACATAAAACCTTACTAAACAAATTGCACGGTAACGAGTCATAGAAAAGTATGAAGTCGATACAACCCCATTGCGAATTCTAGAGTTCCTCGCGTACCTGCTTTGCTTCGGGTTCGGGTACAGCCCCAGACTTAGCTTCGACTACTTTCTCTTGTTGCTCAGCTGGAACCTCTGGCCCGCCCTCCGCGGCCTTCTTTGCCTTCGCCTCCCGCTTCTTTTTGTTCTTCAACGCGGCCTTCGACAGCTCGGCTGTCGAAATAGAATAGGTGGACAGGTTAGGATGTGTATAAAGTAGAAAGAGGTGTTACAGTAGACTCGAGGGAGGGACTAAGTGACATAAGAGGTCCACTCACCTGCACCTACGACGCCTGGCTTCTTAGGTGCTATGTCCAAGCGTTGTGCCTTCTCGTGAACGTCCGCGTGCTGTGACAAGACAAACAGAGTGCAGAAGTTAACTGAGTTAAAAAATTATCCTCAGGCTTGGCTGGTTAACCACTCGAAAAATTAGGAGTATCTGCAGAAGTGAAACGACATCAATCGATACTATAATCGACTGCGCATACCAGATCGACTGTGTTGACAGTATTACGAGCTCCTGGTGGGCGGTAGGCAGCGGGTTTCACTTCGGCCTGTACTTTAGCTTTGGTATTTGCTTGCACACCGATGCACTTTTTAGCCTCGTAACTTCCCTCTGGCTGGGGCATGAACTTCACCTCATACAATTCTTGATAGTCTTTAGAATTAACGAGTGTTCCATCGTAGTGCCACGCCTTGAAACCGTTATCCTGGCTGTAAAATACATATGCATTCGAGGAGCACAATTTTTAAGGACCATGCAAAAAATACTAGGAATAATAGCGAAAGGTTAGGGAATTCACGCACAGATATACCATATACGTATTCTGGCGGAAAACGAAGCACGATAAACCTACCGCAGGCGTGGTGATAGGGTGGCGGTGATGAAATGTTCCCCATCAGGGGCCCACTCGAAGGTAGTGGTGTCTTGTGCTTGAAATTTGCTAACCATGCGCAGCTTTTTCCTGTCCCAGAATTCCTGAGATGGTACATCCGCATCCAAAAAAAAAAGAGTCAGCTTCCGTACGATTGAGATGAAAATAGGCTCAGAATAATAGTAGAATCGTATTTATACCTACCTACGTACATATTTACATAAATTGGCATACATTATATAAATAAAAAAATTATGTATGCACATTTTGTTTACAATTATTTGTAAGAAGAGACAGCAATGAAACACGGACATAATTGACATACCATCTCCCCACGCAGATTGCCGAATCCGGCCAGAAGAATAACCTGGCCGCTTGGACTGTATGAGACCAAATTTCTTTTACCAGTGCCAAAATCCATAATGGCCTTGCACTTGTCATCGAATAACATAGCTTTAGCAGGCATATATCCAAACACACAAGTGAAGTCCTTTCCATCCGGGTTCCATTCTGTGCTATAGATAGGACCTTCCTTGCCGAGCTCAACATTACTTGATGTGGAGCCATCCGCCGACAGAAAGTAAAGCTGGTTCTCCCCATAGTACGACTTGTTACTTTGATCCACGTGCACATGTGTGTGAATAAGTAGTGCAGTTCCTGATAGAGAAGTAATTAAAAGCACAGGTTGAATCGGATGCTGGCCAACAACAAAAAATACGTATATATGCTGAAGCAAATCAGTGAAAAATGCAATATATAACATAGTCCACCCATGCGTAAGATTAAGCGCTCACGAAATATGCTTTGTCAATTTTCTGTCCGCTCTCCGCACACAGCTGGTCAAGTCTGTTTTTCACAAGACGATAGCGACAAGAACAGAAATTTCGACAGCGACGTATATGCAGTGTAGGTATCTGACACATTCACTATATTCAAATATAGCCACACCAAATAAGATACCAAAATGAACAGGCGTGTTGGAAATACAAAATTTCAAGTTTAGAGACAAATGTCATGCAGAAGTCTTATTCGCCAGTAGCTGGAAATATCCTTGAATAAAAAGGAAATTGCAAGGAACATACCGGTCGAGTTCCAATTCAAATCTACCGTATCGGCTTTGAAAAAACTCTTAGAGGTCACAACTTTCTCCAGATTAGGATATTTGTATATCACCACTTTGGCAGGTATACCCTGTGATCATCAAATGGTGCAATGGTCGACGTTGAGTCTAAATGTTACGAGATGAACGCCCAATCTACCACGTTATCTGTACATAAAGTCATACGTGTTTATATGAATATATAAAAGAGTACATTCGATTCAAATATGGAATATTCACACACATAAATTGTATGTATATACAATATACACGTGAACAATTATGTATTTCTGCTCTTCAACATATAAATTTCAATACAGAAGTAATTATATAGTAGTACAAACAAACAAACATCTAACTCTAGAAACAAACGGACACGTTAAGTTTTTTCTTACATACACACTCCCGTACACATGGATAAACAAAAAAAACTACGAGTATACGTACATTAATTTTATAATATTGCTTATATCAACAGGTATACTATATTATGCTTTTACATTATATATATATGTATATATATATATGTATATATATATATATATATATATATGTATATATATATATGTATATATATATATATATATGTGTGTGTGTGTGTGTGTGTGTGTGTGTGT